GACCCCTTTTGGTTTCCCAAAAAGGGGGGGGGGGCGCGGATGGACGGGGCTGTAGGGGGCATTGCCAATCCGTTGCATATTGATCTCTCTGAAACAGCACTTACATGGTGGTTCTGCGACAGGCCGGAGGCAGGAGAAGATGAGGGGGGGGGTAGCTGAGGTGAAACGGAAACGGAGAAAAGTTTAGCCGGAAGTGAATTTCTGGCGCCTTGGAAAATTTTTCCCAATGGTCAATACGACTTCTTCCGCAGCCACCCAAGTAGGCCCCTTTCCATGTGATTCTCACCAATGGGCTGGGAATCTTGGCTGATCTCGGCGGAGCTCAGCTCGATCCCGAAGGTGGTGGTGTGCGCTGCTTTGTTCGCTACCACTCAACTGCGCTCTGATTTTTCACTTTTACTGTTATCATATACAACAATACAGCATAGTAAATAAATAATGCCTGGTAAAATAATATTTTACAGTTATATACTATAGGAAAAAGAGACTAAAACTACTGAACATGCAATACGGAATATTCTTACTTATTGATTACTATTTACAATAAAGCCATTCACCGATTTATCGCAAAACTTCCTAGAAGAACATTATGATGACTGTAGGAAATTCTTCAGGACCTTCAAGAGCGTCCAACTTCGGCCACGCCGCACAGAGCCCGATTCGATCAGTAATAGCTGCAGCTTATCCGCTATTGATTGATATCGATCAGGAGAGTCAATGGCCAATGAGCGAAGGCGATGATCCACAACGCATACTAAAAGTGAGTGAGGATTAGCTCCATTGTCAGAATTTTCTTTGACATCTTGAGAACTGCGATATTCTCCTGGGATGCGCCATAAAGTGGTCTTCCTGGGTTCGCGGAAACGTGGTAAAGCTTGGGAGCTTATGGAATGAGGTCTGGTGAAATTTCAAGCGATCTACGGCAGCCATACCATGTATACATATAGCCGCTTTCGTCTGCAAATCAGTTATATGGAAATGTGTCTTTTGGACAGCGAATTGGCGATTCCGAGGCTGAATAGCGCAGAGATTAGGAAAAGGTGGCGGTGGGTGGGTCAATGAGGAGCATACACACAGAAGAAGCGGGGTTCGTACCGGGGCGGGGTTCACACAGGAATAGATTATCTTCCGAGTACCCGTTTTTCTGTAACCAGACGTGGCAGCGGGGGCAGCCAAGCTATATTATGCCTGTGCGTTTCGAGGTGACCTTCCAGAGATTTTCCGCTTGAGAGCTCCTTTAGCGTAGTCGTCATTCGAGGACGCATGTATCAGCGAAAGGAAAATAGAAATTATTCCATTAAAAATACACCTCCCTCGTTCCAAGACGACGCTTACTAAGGATTTGAGACGCCGACCACATTTACCCAGGAAATTCCAAAAAATCCGCGGGAATTAGAACTAAAGGGTTATCCAATGCCCTTATTGCAGGTGATTTTAATCTTGCGCCTGTGGGCGCCATTTTGCTTCCCGCTCCTTTTTTACTAACAACCTATATAAACA